TTTGTTCTTAAGTTGTAGCTTGTTCTGTTTCTATTTAAATCTTTGTTTTAAATCACTGGATACCATGACATTTTGAAATTTATGACTGTTTTTGGGTTTTGTCCTCAAGCTTGTGTTGCATTATGAGTAAAACTCAAACTGTAGGGCAGACTGCTGACATTTTTGACAACCTATATTTGAACTTGAAAAAGGTTTATAGTATCTGACTAAGTGAGCCATGTCCTCCTGAGGGGGAATACCGTCATACCAGATGAGGACGAAAGAGAAAAAATGTCTTATAATGTAACACATTCATGATGAAAAGTAATACTTAAACAGTTTCTGTACTGTACCATGAATTTAAAATGCCATGGTTTTCGGTTAAAGTTTGCAGTGAAAGTAGATGAGGAAAGAGACTACAATCCTAATGCAGTGCCTTCTTAAAGAAATAGTTGGGCATGTGGGGAAATGTTGTTATGTAGTTGAGGAAGAGATGGACACCACTCTCTGTTTGTGTGCTAAATGTGAAAATGTCTACCAGCAGTCAAAGGAGCTTGCAAAGAAAAGCGTCTGGACTTCTTTAAGTTGCTTGAAGACGTTTCACCTCTCATCCGAGAAGCTTCTTCAGTTCTAAGGTCAAATGGTGGAGAGTCCCAGATATAAACCTAGTGGGAGTGACCCCCCACAGAGGGACAAAAGGACCCCCTGATGATCCTCTAATCGCCTGAGCCAAGGTGGGAAACTGGGTGTGGGCAAAGACGCTTTTCTTTGCAAGCTCCTTTGACTACGATGACCTGGATGACTGAGAACCTTCACAGACATTCTACCAGCAGTTGGCTAGTGTAGCTTAGCAAAAAAACTGGAAATAGGGGAAAATGTTCCTTGGTTAAACAATCAAGATTAAGATAAAACTTGTGTGTTTGTCAGTTTTAGATGTTGCCGTTTTTGCACAGGGATGAGACGAGCTGTTCTTTTTCCTTTTGCTAAGCTAAGCTAACTAGCTGCCAAAAGGGCCAGCAACTATTCCTTTAAGACCATCTAAACTATTGCTTTTGCTCCCCTTTGTGCACCTACAGTCATTTGTAAGTAGGCATCCTATTGTTCTGGCTTTGCCGGCTTCTGTATTTATTTGGGTTGTTCCTTTGAAAAATGAATTTTTTGGTGAAAGAACAATGTGTTCATGTGTGATTTCTATTAATCTTTGTAAGCCTATCTATCTATCTATCTATCTATCTATGATTGGGGTGAGGGGAGGGAGACAGGTCAAAAGACACTCTCTATCTGCCTATCTATGGCATGGGTTGGTATGGGTTGGTATGTAAGCTGACAGCACAAGGATAGTTTTTCCTGTGGCCCAGACCTCAGGAAGCCAACAGCGACCTCAAGCTGCTGCTTCTCTTTGACCACATTAATTGTTGTGTTTGCATGAGGGTAATTTGCCATTCAAATCACACCTGTCCACAACAGCAGCCACGTCTGGAGTTGGTGGGAAAGAAAGGCAATGATTCATGGGACCTTCTGAACAGAGATGTTGATGAGGTTGATGTGGGGATCCCCTCCCCCTTCCACTTTTATTAAGGTTAGGGGTGAAAAAGACAAGCCTCTGTGAGTCTTCTTTTTTCAATTCTTTCAAAACTTCTGGGACATCAAATTCTTTCCTTGCATTTGTTGTGTATCTGTGTCATAAAATCTGGCTTGAGTTTCACAGCAAGCTTATTTCCCATATTCCGCACTGGAATGCAAGGTGGAATATTTAATTTGTCTACATCCTGGTCTCATATATCATATGTTCACTATAGAGGACAAGTGAATTTATTGAGTCTAGAAAGTGATTACAACTTATAAAACCTTTACAGTCACACGAGCTGTGTAGCTCTGCGGTGCCCTCTGCTGTCCCAATATCGAAACTGCAGGGAAACAATAACATCCCTGTAATTGAAAAAGAAACGTGCGTGTACATGTTTTTGTTTGGGTTTGTGTCGTTATTGTTGTTTTGAGTAAAGACTGCTTCGAAGTTATTTTCTTCTGCTAGACATTTCAATGTAATGGTCCAATCAGAACATTTTTTATTTAATTAAACATGGCCGCTCCAGTAAGGTACCGTCCTCTTACCAACAGTAGAGGGAAGCACAGGCCCATTTCATCATCGAGGGCTGTATTTTTGTTTATATAGCTGACACCTTTGTGGAATTAGTCTTTTATCCACGCCGCCACCCCGCCTTGTAAAAGTTAAACTTGTTATCAGTAAACTCAGCTACAAATCAGGCGGTGGTCACATCCAACCGTCACTTTGTTTTTCTCTGTGATAAACCAATCAGCAAGCACGCGCATTTAAACTCCGCCTCCCGTCAAACAACCGTTGCTTGTGTTGTCAACAGACGACGGAGGACCAATAGGAGCAGAGAGCGGGACGGAGCGAGGGAGGAGAAAAACCAGAGTCTTGTAAAGCTAAAGTTATGTCAATTTAGCTTCAGTACATAGCTTTTGATAATAAAGCAGGAGGACCCCCGAAAAATAAACATGGTGGTTGTACATGTCCCGCCCCTCCAGCCCCCCAAAGTCTAGAAGGACTCTGGTACGTCCTTCTTGTATGTGGTAAATTTCGACTTAGTGTGTGCGTTCCTCATTATCGCTGCACGACACACGAGCGGGTTACGTCATCGCGCCGTTCTTGGTGTTGAGAAGTTGGTAAATATGGTTTGACCTCATGGTGGAGAGAGAGGGAGAGTGGAGAGACAAACTGGATTAAACGCTACCAGCAGCAGCAGCAGGAGGAGGAGGGCGGCTAGTAAATAACCTTTAGCTCCTGCTGTTAGCACACCGTTTCCCAAGATAAAGAGTATCCTCGGGAAAGTGCTGCTGCAGCTCAAATAAACATCGGCTGCTTTGACTCTCCATAGGCGGGCCACTTTATCTGATAAGACCTGGGGAAACCAGCAAAGAGCCCACACGACAGCTGCTGGTGAGTACCTATCGTGCATTAGCTGCTAATTATTATGTACGCAGTCAAGTATATTTTTGGTTGGCCTCGTCCGCTTCTCGTCGCTTCAGCCTCAAACCAGCTGAACGTGAAAAATCCTGCGCAGCGGCGTGCTGACGTGCCTGCCATGACCATGGCTGCCCCGTACTTGTACAAACTTTGTCAAGCTGCAGACCGAGCGCTAATTTATTCGGGACATTTGGAAATCCGCGCAGGCTATTCGCAGCAGCCGTAATGCTAGTTTTAACTCCTTAACGTGGCACGAGTTTGTTGTTATGAAGTCTCGTGCACGGTCGCCTACGAGGAAGTGAGTTAGGAGGAGTTTTAAAAGGACAACTGTCGTTGTGCCCTTGCATTGAAAGAAGAGAGGCCGTAGTGTCTCGTTACGCTGTTAAAACGTGTGTTAAAGCTTAATTCCAAATTTATACGTTTTTGGAAGAGCGTGCACCTAGTGACTAGCATATGTTTATTTCAGGTACTGCGGGAAAAATAAAATTTCGCTTATTTGGCATAAACGGAAGTCAATTGTTGACACTCGTGTACGTGTTTTCGTTTCGGTTAACCTTTAACTGAAACTATTGTTAATAGTTTCCTGTAGTAATTGTACAACTTTCATATCTGCACAACATTTTAGAGCAATCGTTTCAAGAATCAAACACTCTAAAACATATAACACATCTATTACTATGGACGATTATAATTTTTGAGAAGTTTATTTTTTCCTTTTTTTTAATGTCAGTCCCAGTACCCATCATCACCTCGATGTTATATTATTGTTAAAAGTTTTAGTTGTTATATATTATGTGTTTCATGGTTTCTTGTGATACAACTAATAGCATTAATTTGGCCAAAAATCTAATAAAATAGAGAAGCATGCTTTCCCATTTTACCATGTCAGATTATGTACACATAAAAGTGAGGTAGGTCAATCTAAGCCTCTATGAAGTGCTAACAGATAAAAGTGTAACAGCTGGCTGTGATTGCATTATTTTTAATGCAGGAACTGCCTTTGATTGTGCAGTTTATTAAAATGGGAGAGACTCTTCTTTTCCAGGAGTCTCGCAGGACGACGTGAGTTTATTCACGTTTCCCTCATAAACGGTGGTGACGCCACTGCAAAGTTAACGGGAAACATTTCCCACTCTTGGCTCAGGAACGCTTGTCAAGGGCAAGTGATGGTAGACTGTCAGGAAGCCATGAGGTGGACTGAGCAGGATTCAGACGCTGACTAACACTGCTTGGGCTATTTCCATAACGGTGAGACAACAGCTTGAGCAGCAGACAACAGCTGCGGCTTAGGTGTGCATATTTGCCACACAGTCAGTACGCTATTACCAAAATCATACCTTTCAGTTTCCCTCCTCTGGAGATGAGGGCTCGGGGCCCACACACACAGGCCACACACCGACTCTGGCAAATGGGAAGTTGCTCAGCCGATTAGATTTGGCAATAAAATTACATCTTAGTCACAGCCAGAGAAAAATCAACGGCACTGTAATGAATGTGGACCAGGGCACATTCTAAGCCAGAAAAATCCCCCAAAGTGTTTCTGAATCTTGATTTTATAACCGTGGAATCTAAGTACAGTAGGAGATTTGTCTTTTACAGATTTAGGTCTAAATAAACAAGTAAGGGATCTTGGAAGAGGCACATTGTGGGAAGTTAAGTTTAAGATGGCACAGCTTTGTAATTGGAAAGAGTGTTGTATTTCTATAAAATCAAAGACTGAAATTACCTTAAAAACTAGATGAATTAGCTGTACCCTTTATAGCTATTTTAACTTTCAAACTTAATCTTTAAACTTAATCTTAAACACTGTGAAGGAAAGTGAGCATTCAGATTTCTCAAACATGATTATTCCAGTGCAAATATTACTGATCTAAAAAAAAAAAAAAGAATAAATCCTATCACGTCTTTCCACAAACTCTTCATTTCTTCCCCTTCCTCTTGGTTCCTTGTGTCACAAAGTATCCACCATCTGAAAACAGAGCAGCCCTAAAGGAGGATGGATGACCCACTTCTGACTCAGGCGATGTATGTGCACTGCTTCACATACACGCTTATTGATATATTGCGTAGATTCCTTCAGCCACAGCCCCAGCAGCTTTCTCCACAGGCCCAAATCCTCGCCGAGCTGTTTTGGAGCCTGTTGTCACGCCCACAAAGCAGCACCTGTAACATTGTAACAAAAACAGGCAGCAAGCTGTAAGAGGCAGGAATGCAGCGGTGGCTCTGCTGTTTAGATAAGCCTGAAACAAACCCAAGTTTTATTCGTGTCTTAACTCAATCTTGAGATTTGCTTTCAAGCGTTGCCATCACAATAGCAACAGCTTTAACAGTCTGTAAAGATAACCAGGTTGTTTCCTGAAAGGAAGATGCGACATTTTTAGATTCATAGAAAACCAGCCTCGTCGTCCCGTCGCTCGGCATAAAATATGACGGTGGGCCTCGAGCATGAACTCAACACGTGCTCCCACGCTCACTCGTGCACAGAAATAGCTGAAAGATTTATCCCTTGCTCTCCTCCCGTTTTGTTTCCAGTGACATTTTCAGATGCAGCCCTGGACCACATGCACGCATACTCACAGCTTACAAGCATTCGCCTTCCCTTTCTTGTGCCTCCGTGTGCCCAAACAGGGATCGGAGGTCATGGGTATTTTTAGACAGAGTATTAAAGTCCTCTCAAGATGTGACAGCTGTGTATGTTTGTGAGTGTTTCTGTTGGCAGTGACTCGACAACGGGTTTTATTTCTTTCCATTTGCCTTCTTTGTTTCTATGGTCTTTTTTTTATCTTCCCTGAAGAGGTGAACTGACACATTAAAATCTCTGACTGCTTTGTGTCGGAGCTTCCAGGGGAATCGAAGGATGACATTCACCCCGCATTTTTCTCTGTTTTGTTGTCTTTCTGTCTTCTGTTTGTAGTCCATCATGGCAGGTGATATGATGTTGCTAATGCGAGGCCTGGCTAAGCTGAGCCAGGCAGTCGTAGAGACTCAGACCAACACCCTCCGCAGTGGGACAGGTATGTTTCTGAACAATATTCCCTGTGCTTTTATCTTTCTGTTTCTTTGGTAGTCATGTTCCCACTTTACTAAACCAGACATTTCCGTGTGGGACTTGCAGCGACCCCAAAACTGACTTTCATTCAAATGATATGAGGCACAGCCCAGTTAAATCCCCTCCCCTCTGGGAGGAAAACCAATTCATTTGCTTTGTATTGACTGTGTTTTGTGTGAAGGTGACTCCTTCTCGAGTCTGCTGATAGGATAAGGAGCCCAGAGCTCAGCGTTTATCAGGAGCTAAAGGAAGAAAAGAAAATGGTTTGAGGAGGCAAAAGTAGACACAGATGTTGGACACCAGCAGGGTTCAGAATGAGAACACAGAAATCCTGACATCCCTGTAGCAAGCATTTTGTCACTGATAAATGAAATATTCAAATTGTGTCAGTTTTATAGCCAAAACGTGTTGACAGGAAGTTCATTTGTACTGTAGTGTAAAAAGTCACAAAGTTATAAGTAAATGTTTGTAAGTGCTTGAACTGACTTCTATCTACAACTTGATAACAAATAGCGAGTGTTCTTTAATGTGGCATGTCTAATTTTCAGGCAGCTAAAGAACTTTTGTTAGTGTTTCAGTACTTGTTTGGTTTGGAGCCCAACTTGTAATGTAATGTAATGTTAAGAGTTTCATTGGGAGTGACCAGGATGGACATGATTAGAAATGAACACATCACAGGGGCAGCTCAAAATGAGAGGTTTAGACACAAAGTTAAAAAGGCAAGGCTTGGACATGTGCAGAAGATGTTCAAGGGTGTTTAATATGGAGCTGCCAGGCAGGAGGAAAAGAGGGAGACCTCACAGGAGATTCATGGATGTAGTGAAGGAGGACACGCAGAGGGTTGGTGTGGCAGAGGAGGATGCTAGGGATCAGGTGAGATGGGTGAAGATAATCCTACGGTGGCCCTGAGAGACCAAACGCACTGCAACTTAAGAAAACAAGAAAAAGCGTTTTTGGGGAAACAATAACATGACAGAAGAGCTGTGGAAGGGATAAGTGATAAGCTAATAGCAAACATGTGTCTACAGTATTATATATATGAGTCATGCAATGAAAACACACATTACCTGCATCTTTTTCTTGATCACAGCACTGACGAACCCTCTGTTCTTTTAAGTGTGTCCATTTCTGTCACTTCCTCAGCTGTTCTGTCACATTATTATGTCCCCAAACACTTCTGTTGTTTTGTGTGCTTGTTTTTTTGTTTTTCTATTTTGTGTTTTTTTTTTTTTTTTAAATTGCAGTGTTTTTAACCCTGTCGGTCATCGCATGATCCGTATGAAAACAGCACATGAAAAATTAACAGATTTCCCTAATGCGTGTAGTTATTTACTACGTTTATGCTCCGCCCATCTCTGCTTAGACTAGTTGGTTGTTATTTGGCTGTTGAAGGACATTGCAGAGAGCCCCCTGGTGGGCAAACTGTGTAATGTCAACACTCATTACATGGTTGAAGGCTGTTTCTCCATTTCTTCTTTACTTTTATTTCAGTTTAGTAATATAAATGCCGCCACTGATAAATCAGCAAATAGCCAGTATCATACAATAAAATCAACCCACCGATAAATCGATTGGGCTGTAGTCTTCCCACCAGTGGATCTCAGATTGTGACACACTGGGGTGTGTCTGCATTAAGCTGTCCACTGAGGGCAAACAGAATCGTTTTTATGATTGACGACTTTGGAATAATTTTCTAAATAACAGCACAGTAGCCTTGCGTAAAAGGACATCCTGAAGCTGTTTTGTAACTGTTGCTCAAGTTTTAAAAGAAATGAAAGTTTTACAGTTAATAAAGAAAAAGGAGGAATTGGTCCAGGAAACTGGATGGCCACAGGAACGAAGGGCCTTCTGCAATATTCAGTTGACTAATTTTAACCAGAACACTAAGATGCATTGTTCATAATGAAGTTTATAAAATATTAACACAATAGTTGCTTTATTATTAGCAGAAAACAATTTGAAGTTTCCTGTATTTGTATAACCAGCCCCAGGAATAGGCGCTGCTGTCCAAAGTGTCCAATCAGCTGCGGAGCAAGGCATCTCGGCAGCCATGGTAAAAATCCAGGTTTGTGCAGATAATACTGTGTATTTTAATAAATGTCATAACGGTACTTTGACTTTGTTTTAAATGTATGCATTTGTCTCTAAAGGAAATGTCCGGCCAGCAGCAAAGCTATTCCTCAGAGTCCGACTTCGACTTTCCTCCAGATGACAGCGCATTCAACACTTCAGAGTTCAGGGATGAAGGTGCAGACTTCACAGTGGATCACTCAGGAAGCAGCGATGACGCAGCAACAGGGGCGAAGCATGCCAGTGGGAAACACTCAGTATTTGAAGGATACAAAGACCCCAGCAAACAGTTCAGTGGGAACACCAGATCCTACCACCAAGATGTGAGGTAAGAATGGTTGTGCCATAAACGAATCACTGCTGCCGGTTATGGGGGATTAAGGTAATTCTCTTTGCTTTCTCTGTGGCAGACTTCTTAGTGGACGTCAGCTCTACAACCACAGAATGAACAAACATGTGTGGAGGCAGCTTTACTTTCAGCATCCTGTCAGTCAGTTCAGGAGCTACCATCAGGACCCATCCACGATGGGGGGATTGACGGCCGAAGACATCGAGAAAGCTCGAGAGAGCAAGGGGACTGATGGAAAACCACATAAACAGATGGTAATTCCTCTTTCTCATTTCCTGTTCCTTGAACACAAAGATACTCGTTTAAATGATTAATTTCTGCTATTTGTTTCAAATTTTAATGGAAAGTCACATTGCGTTGTGTCTTCTTCAGCTGAGTGAGAGAGCCAGAGAGAGGAAAGTGCCCGTGACCCGGATCAGCAGATTGGCCAACTTTGGAGGTACAGCATTACACTGCGTCTGAGTCATGGATGATTCAGTGGATGTTAATATCTGACTGTATCTGTAGTCGTGCAAGTCTGCATATACATCAGCAGCAAAGTAAAGCTTTGTGTGGCTGGACCTCAGCTTTTAATGGTCCAGATGACATTTATTGGATCCTACATTCAAACTAATATTTGAAAACAGAGTGTGTTCTTTCTGATTACACAGAAGTCAAAGTGAGTCTCTATTAATTGAAAGATCTAGTTGTGTTGGAGAAATGTTGTCTAATTGTTGAGCTTTCTTTGTGCTTAATAATATATAAAAACTGAGTTGGTAAAATTCTAGTCACCTAATCTTGTAATCTTTTAACCTCCCACTTACCTTTTTAGATGAGGTCACTGGTGTTAAGACAGTACTAATAAATTCACGTGACTACATAAGGCCATTTCTAAATGGCAGCGAATACAAAAACAAAGCCCTTAAAGGAACCGAATGAAACAAGACATTGAGAAATGTGTGTAACATGCTTGCCAGACGTTGGAGCCGCACTCAAAGCAAAAACCTCTAGAAATGAGGTCAAGCTACCTCAGCCTTTTCTTTAACTAATCTGCTCCTGTTGAGATAAAAACATGCCCTGTTAGGCAGCTACAAGCTGGCACAGCGAGACACCGGCAGCCTGAAAGGGAGTTTTGCAATCGTGCAGCCATAAAAGGAATGAAATGTGTTTGACTTTGTAGTGCACACGGCTGTTGTTAATCTACTATTTCACCACGTTCACAGTTTTCCATTTATTGTCTGTGACACATTTAATGAATAAATTAATGCAGTTCAGTTATGTACATTAAAGAAAAAATCTAAAATTGATTTTTAAAATTTAACATTCTCTGTCTGGTTTACAATATACTCACTTGCCACTTTTTTATGCACACCAGTATGAGGTTGGACCTGTTTTTATTTTTAGAACTGTTTTAATTATTTGCGGCATAGATGCAACAAGGTGATGGAGATATTTATTAGACATTCTGGTTAGAATTAGACGATCTAATCGCACAGTTTCTCCAGATTTGCACGTCCATGATGCGAATGATCCCGCTCCACCCCATTCCAAAAGTGGGTTGTGGTATTTAATGATGCATGGAAGCACAGATCCAAGAATGGATCCGTGTTTTCATGTTGTTTACGCTAAATTCTGACCCTACCATCAGAGTGCTGCAGCAGAAATCAAGACTCATCAGACCAAACAACGTTTTTCCAGTCTTCTTCTGGTCAATTTTTGGTGAGCCCATGTAAATTGCAACTCAGTTTTCTGTTTGTAGCTGCAAGACTGGCACCTGGTGTGATCTAAGACTGCTGTAGCTTAGCTGCTTTAAGATTCAGTGTGGTTTGCGTTCGGATATGCTTTTCTGCATACCTTGGTGGCAGCAAGTGCTTTTTTGAGTTATTGTTGCCTTCCTGTCAGCTCAAAGCGGTCTGGCTCTTCTCTGACCTCTGACATCAACAAGGCATTTTCAGCCAGAGAACTACAGCTCTCTGCATACTTTCTTTTTTTTCTCACCATTTCCTGTAAACTCTAGAGATGGTTGTGTGGGGAAAACCCCAGTTTTAACTCACCATTCTTCCCGATTCTGATACTCAGTCTGAGCTTAAGCAGGTCATCTTGATTGCTGTCGTTGACTTTATTGACTGATTAGACATTTGTGTTAGTAATCAATTGAGCGCGTCTAATAAAGTGGCTGGTGAGTTAACCATTAGCCAAAGGTTCAATGTGTATCTTCCAGAAAATGACTGAAGTCATCAGCCTGCTACTTGTTGACTTACCTTACAACACTAGAGGCTAGCTGCCTGACGTTGGATGACTTTCTTGCTAACCTTGTTGCTAGCAACATTTGTGTTTTATTTTGTTTCTTTGTTTTTGTGTTGTTTTTTATTGTGGAGTTTGTGTTGCAGTGTGAGTTTACCCTTTTTGTTGACGTTGGTGATTAGGGGATGCAATTTCTAAGCTAACATTAGCTAATGTTGCTAGTGTTGAACATTGAGAGCAGAGGCAAGGTCCTGAAAAAAGACCTCAGCAGCAAGCATAAACACTTCAGAGGCAACAGAGAGCGCTGTGGGAGATCAGCTTTTACATTCTGTTCACACATTAATAGTACGAGACATTTAATACATAAAAAAATACTTCACATTATTCAGTCAGTAACTTTAAACATATCAAGTGTCTCTTCTAATCCTCCAAATTGTGCCACGACAGGATGTTTTTTCAGTGCTAATCTTACTCAAAGCTCTAATGTTCACACAAGCACAGCAAAGAGCTCGCAGCTAGCCTCAGAAGTAGTTTAAGAGAACTGATCGGCAGCTTTTGTGTTGGGAACTTCTCCTCAGACAGATGATGGATCTGTCAGGAGGAGGCACAGAGTCAAACCGGAGCCAGAAATGTGAACGAGAATATAAAGTGGACAGAAGTGAAACATGAACAGCCTCACATAAGTCAGCATGGAACGTCGACATTGCAGAATTTAGCCACAGCTCATTCCAAACAAGTTGGAATTGCAGAGAGCCGCGACAGGTAGAGAGCTGAGATGATTCGGCATGTTGACAGCGGTAACATTTAGAAGGTGTTGAAAAGAGGAGGCGATGCATGAGCCTGGCCTCGACCCCGTCCTTCACTCCCCTACAACATTTGGCAACTGGGACTCTCCACCATTTGACCTTAGAACTGAAGAAGCTTCTCGGATGAGAGGTGAAACGTCTTCAAGCAACTTAAAGAAGTCCAGACGCTTTTCTTTGCAAGCTCCTTTGACTACGATGACCTGGATGACTGAGAACCTTCACAGACAACATTTGGCAACAAAGGCAGACAAGGCAAAAAGCACCAAACCGATTCATTGCGTGGCATCGGCCTCCTCTCGCCGTCGCCTTTCAAGTCACCGTTTCCAAAGGTTTTGCTGACAGTGCAGTTTGGTTCTGAATACCAAATAAACTGACGAGAATAAGCACCGCAGTCATTTTTGCAAACACGTTGCTTTTCTTGAGATCGAATGATGGACAGACACTTGTGCGTGGTCTGGAAAACAAAATATGTCACTCAGAGATGCTGCTGGAAATGCTGATCTCTCTTTGGCTTGACAGTTGCACATGCTGACATCATACAGTTATATAGGTACAGTCACGTAACCGGCTGCCTCATATTCAGTGTTTAAATCTGTGCATTGCAAATCCTCTCTAAACCAGGAAACAAAACACAGGCACATGACATTACTGTGAAAGGAAAAGTTACACGTTAAGTTATGCACACACACACGAAGCAATGATGAATAAGTGCTCAGTTGACTTGTATACATGACACTGAAGCACACCGCGTCCCCATTTGTCCGTCCACCGCTGCATCTCTGCTTCAGAGAGGCCGCTGACTAACTGATTATGTAACGTTGAGTTATGTAAGTTAGAAGCAAGCTCAGAGGAACTTCACAAACAACCGCCCACTTGCGCAAACTCTTTCTTTTAATCCTCTAATTTCTAACATGATTGAGTTTTCCAAAAGCTTTCAGTTTTTTTTGACATTATTTCCATGTTTTGGATGCAACTTTTACTACTGCAGCCATTGCCAAAAACTGACACGATCAAAGGCTTTGTTTGCTTTCTATTTTTGTCATATTTTCTGTTGCATATGTTTTATTTTGATAGGAGTGATAGCAGTTGCAACAGATGGCCTCGTTTAGTCAGGTTATTTACACTCATGACAGAGCAGAGGTGAGGGTCCCGTTAAAGCCGCAGCCTGTCCATACTCTGATTTACTAAAAGGATTTTTTTTTTATACATACGCTGCATGATTTGTGTTTTACTGTCAGTGTAGATGTGAGCTTTGTTTTCTTCTTTTCATCAATTAAAAAAAAAACAGCAGAACATCATCAGATGACGCATTCAGTGCTTTAAAATGTGTTGTATTTGTGTGTTAATGATGAAAACGCATTGGTCTTTGTTGTTGTAATACATTGGTATGTGTTTTGGTTTTTCTGTGTGTTTGCACCAGGTCTGGCTGTAGGTTTGGGTATTGGAGCTCTAGCAGAATTCGCCAAGAAGAGCATCAGACAAAACGGCGCAGAAGGTAACACTCAGAAATGCGCACACGCACACACACGCCTAAGTGGCTCGAGCAGTGAGCGGGATTTACACGTTACAGCTAAGAAATGGATGAAAACCTCACCGTTTGCTTTTTAAAACACTGGCATATTTATTCATTTTTTACATGACACTTGTTCTTAACAGTAGTATACACAGAAAAAAATCTTAGTAATGTTGTGGTGAGGACTCCTCACGGTGCGTTTGTTTTTGGTTTATGGTAACAACATGCAGAGATTTTGCAGCAGCATTCCTATGAATTGCCCTCAGCACCAATCCCTCTTGCATGTTATTACATGTTGCACACTTCAATTAGGCCATCTCCCTTACAGCCTGCCCCCTAAACAGACGTCCCTGCTCTGCTTCGTCAACCTGCTAATCCTGAAACACAGGCTAAGCTGAAACAGAGCGTAGAGGCGTAAATCTGTGGCATTTATGCATCTGTTTGTTGCTATTTATTTTTGTGTGCGCTTTAATCCCAGGCACACACTGTGTGTGTGTGTGTGTGTGTGTGTGTAATCTTCATTAAAGCCTCTGAAGGCAGCGTCAGATGTACCAGAGCGTACTACCTGATGACCTACTGACACACGTACACAGTCACACCCCTCACACATTGGTACAGTCAGATCCACAGCGCTGCGTCCCATTTACCACAGAAGTCGGATACTGGAGCTGCGAGTAACATCACTCCCAAGATATGCGTGTTCTAGCAGTAAAGCTGGAAAAGCAAGATAGTCATCCTTAGCATGAATGCCTATCTTGATAAGGATAGTCACATGCATCACTAGCAGGACGGCTCAACACTTCTTTTTTTGTTTTTTGTTTTTACGCACTGCCAGTGTTCTGCATATAGCTTATATAGTAAGTCACAAATACACAACAGTAGTACTGCACATTGCAAATACGGGGTAGGCTTAAATGTAAGGAGTCTCTAAAAATTGTCCATAATTCCTAAATGTTGCACGAAATATTTCTCTTAAATCCTTGAATTAAAACGTTTGTCCTTCAGTCAAATTCTTGTTGCCTTATTTTAAATTAATTGTGTTGCTGCATAGAAGAAAAACAGTAAATGTGACACAAGAGCTTGTGAACCTGACTGTGCACACAAGACCACAGACCAGTCTTGACAACACTTTGCAGAAACATTGCCTACTTCATATAAATGTGAGTGCCCACATCTGTATGGCGTATACAAATCCCACGATCGTATATATTTGTAGAATTGACAGTTTAATTGGGCACGACGACCTTACGACTACTATCACGGTGGCCACTTTTGTTGATGTTTAGTTTCTGCACGGCCTACATTTGTTACACTGTGTATTTTAATGGTCAGTGCAAATGTTTTAATCTTTCTGGAGCAGATTATCAATCAAGTTATCAAAATAAGCCTCAATAAAAATGTTCAAAGGCTAAAAAAAAAAAATAGCAGAGGAGATCAGACAACTATGTGGGGATAAGTTTAAATTCAAAATATGTGTCACATGACCAAACAAGCACTTCAGGTGCAAAATCTGTCTGTATGGAAAAAAGCAAATGCATACAAATACTTAATGAAATCTGTGAAACGTTTTATGTAATCACAATTAAGAAAAGTAAGTATGATTTTACAGTTATTGTTTATTGGCCTGCTGATTGGATAAAACACTTAACATGCATAACAAAATGCACTACATGCAAATGTAATACTTCTTTTTGTCTTCAGGTGAAAACAGGAAAGCAGTTCTGGACTCGAGCCCTTTCCTGTCCGAGGCCAACGCTGAGCGCATTGTCAGAACTCTGTGCAAAGTCAGAGGAGCTGCATTAAAGTTGGGACAGATGCTCAGCATTCAAGGTGAGAGACGGACATAGTCGCATTGAAATTTAGATTTTTTTTTTAAGTTTTCTGCTGGTGAATAAAAAGCATTCCTTAACCTGGATTATGTGGAGGGAAACGCTCTATATAAAATCACAGTTTTCAGGCTGATTATTGTGGTGCAGGTTAGCTTGACCGTGTGCTGTAGTAGCTGAGAACTTGTAAACTGACTAAGAGTTGGTACAGAGGACTTTTTGGTGAGCTTGTTTGTTTTTGTTTAGTTTTTTTTGCTGTCTTTATACTGCGGCTCTGTGTTGGCTCTAACCTGCATTTAGGTCAGTGCTTGTACACAAACAGATAATCCGAGAGCGAGGCCAGCGGCAGTAAACAAAACAACCAGTGAGTTAATGAAGCCGTGTCAGGTAACAGCAGTAAACCCGTCATCACAGCTTTGTTTAGCTCTGTTGCTACCTCTGCCCAACCTTGATTTGGTGACCTTTTCCTTTGGTATTCGTGCCATCTTTGCCTGAACAGTGCAGTGCAGTAAATATAATAAGCCATGAAGACGGTAGCAGGAGAGAGGAAGGCAGCGACTTCAAAAAAGACCAGGTCAGTCCACTGTGCTGAGACCTGTTGAGCAGTGTTACCATGTCTCTCAAGTGGTGACAAACTGCAGTTTCGAAGTGTGGCTGGGTCAGGGGTTAATGTAATATTCTGTGGGTGGACACACACAATCTCTCTGCTCTTTTCACAGAAAATGTAAAAAGCTGAAATGGAAATGATGATGATAATAATAATAATAATAATAGTAGTCTGCGGTTGACTATATGCAGAGGATAGAAATCCCTGCAGTCTTTGTCCTCTGCTGACATTTATCTGCCATGGCGGGAATGCAGTGCTGGGCAGATGATTGTCTGTTCAGCCATTGTGCTCTTTTAGCACAGCACTCAAAACGGTGTTAACCTCGAGAGGTCTGAAACTGTTAATAAAGTCTTTAATCCTGGTTACATATATCTTCTGCAGTGCCGGCCAAAGCCAACATTAGACACTGGCAATCTATCAGTTTACACAGCGAGTCTGATTTAACTCGCTGATTATGATTATGATGTGGTTTATTGTACTCAAGCAGTAAAATCAGGCAATTATTATGAGTATTAAAGCTTGATTGCTGTATGTGCTCTTTATGTAGTATCTACAATTTTCAGTCCCATTAAACAAAGTACTAAACTGTACTTTTACTACACATTTTAGTAGGAAACTACACAGCAATTTAATCTACACATTATATCGATGTGTCTGGCTTAATTGTTTATGATAAATTGCTGAGTAATTGCACAATTACATTTGTGCTGTTACTCTATATTCCGACTGCTCTCACACTCACACTGTGATTTTTCCTTTTGACAGCTCAGCTTGTGTTTATAAGCGGACCCACAGCTTCACAATCAGCTAGCAAACCGTTGCCTTTGATCATTAACTCATGTCTGTAAAGTTAAGTTGACTCAGTTTTTCGTCTCTAAGTATAAATAAAGCACGGCTGATAAGAACAGGTGACCCACAAGCCAGTCAGCTGAAAACTGCATTTCTCAGTCTGTATTTGATGCACGTTTCTCTCAGATTTCTCACAACCGGCTGCACTTAAATCAACGAGAGTCCTCTGACTGTAGCGAGGCATATCCACATATTCAGTTCTGCACTACAGTCACTAAGAGCAGGATCTGTGTTTGTGCACTGGCCTGTGAGAGAGAGAGGGAGAGCTGCCCCTCACACACTGGCTCAGAGAGAGAGAGAATGTTTTTTTGCATCACGCAGTGTCTAAATGTTACTTTGATCTTTGATGATTAGGCCCTGGTGCCTGTTTCGTACGTGTTTCAGCACCCACTCCTGTGTGTCGTTCATGTTTTTTGGGGTTTTTTCTAAAGTAATGGTGCCGCTCAGGTTGCGTTATGCAACGCAATATGGCAGTGAAAAAATAAGCAAATGGGTTTGCTGATGTTATCACGCTGACCTTATTTAACAAGAGTTGAACTTGGGTCATTCTTTATGCTCAATGATTGCTCAAAGTTGTGGGTAGAGGAGCATGTTTGGATTTTTTTTTTTTTTTTCGTTGGTTTGTTTTAGCTTTTATGAGGGGAATGGCAGGTAAAATGTTTGAGAACCACTTAACGTAATTAAAGATCTCAAGATGTTTTTATGTTTCAGATGACGCTTTCATCAATCCTCATCTTGCCAAGATTTTTGAGCGTGTGAGACAGAGTGCTGACTTCATGCCAATCAAACAAATGACAGTAAGACTGATAGTTATGCCATTTCCTCAGCAACTTATATTTTATTTAATGATTTAAGTTGTATTACATTGTGATTCCTGCCCCTGGCTATTTTGAAAGACTTTTTTTCCAGTGATGCTAAAATCCTACTTGCTCTTGTCTGTCTGCAGAAAGCACTGAATAACGATTTGGGCCCAAACTGGAGGGACAAGCTGGAAATGTTTGAGGAACGCCCTTTTGCGGCAGCGTCCATCGGGCAGGTTCACCTTGCACGGATGAAGGATGGCAGGGAGGTGGCCATGAAAATACAGGTTAGGATAAAAACATGTGACACTGCGTCCTCATGTTGTCAACACTCGCTTAAACTTGCATGCATACAGGAAACGCATAATCTGATTATCAGATGGATGCGTTTCCTTACAGAGGAACATGTGAGCCAGTTATCTCATGCTTTTACTGAATAAAATAGTTTTATTGCTGTGCTAACTGTTTATAGTAAATATGATTGTGTGATCAAATTAAACAAAGTGTTTGAATGTTTTTCTCTCTGTCTGTTGTCTTCAGTATCCTGGTGTGGCTCAGAGTATCAACAGTGATGTCAACAATTTGATGACGGTGCTGAATATGAGCAATGCTCTGCCTGAAGGTGTGTGTACACACACACACACACACACACACACACAGCATCCTCTTCATCTCCCTGTGTCTGCTTCTCTCTACCTGTTTCTGAGTTACTGTTTCCACGACTAGTCCCAATGTTTTTGTCCTGTTTTGTTTGTGTCTGTAGGTCTGTTTCCAGAGCACCTGATAGATGTCATGAGAAAAGAGCTAGCCCTGGAGTGTGACTATATTAGAGAAGCCCAGTGTGCAAGGAAGTTCAGGTATTATGCAGCAAATGTTGTTGTAATCTGAAAGCCAAGCTTGAGAAATATTTTTTCCTTTAATTAAATTACTAAAGAAAATAATTTTTAGCTCATATGGCCAAAGGATTCATGAGCTCATGCTATGGCAATTTACAAGAATTGCTTTTCCTGGGGCATTGCTCAGATTTTAGTGATCACCTAATAGGTCTTCACCCAGATTGTGGTCAAATTTGAGGTTCTGAGTGGATTTGAATTTCTACTAATTTAGCAATACACCCGACCGATGAAAAACTTATCGCTTTGTTTCCATATTTCATAAACATATCTTAAATCCTGGATTTCTAAAACTCAGTCTATGTAAACCTGATTAAACTTTTAAGAAATAAAAGGTGTAGGGTCTAGCTGTCATGAATTCACGTGCAGGAATCTGAGCCTAATGCTATATTACACTGGAAATGGGAAATCAGAAATCTTGAATTCTGGGTCATGATCAGCCCCTCAAGTGGAACTTGCCACTTACAAAAGTCTGAGAAGTCCCACCAACCCCAACTGCATGATTCAAGCAGGATAAATGGCAGTAAAGCTGCAGAAGTTGTATTTGTGACTCTCTAATTCAGCGAGGCACAGAGAACCGACCATGCTGCAGCATTGCATTGTGCTCCAGGTATTGTTAGTGATGGCGCCACCTGGCTTCAGAGCAAAACAGAGCCTGTATTTGTACTCACTGGAACACAGTCACCTCGTGTGTGACCTCGTGTGTGACTTCCAAGTTAAAAGGAAGGTTGCATTAATCTATGTGCTGGGATAAAGTGGACTGTAGACCTAACTGTCATGCCAGTGACAGCACACTATCGTACTCGACTGAATCCCTGATGCACTGATCGAGTATTTGAGCTCACATCATGGCTCGATTCTCCTTTCTGTTCTTTCTCCGCACTGTGCGGTCTGCTCTCCGTCACCCCTGAAACACTCGGGTTACACAGATATAGTTAGCTTATTCCACCCCCCTTTTTAGATGTCCGTTGCTTGGGTTCAAGGTCAGGCTGACTGTGATTGCTAGCCAGTTTTATATATATAGACTTAACACTCTATGTGGAGTGTTGTGTTCTTAAGTTGTATTTCATGTGTTTTTGTATCTGCTCATGTCTGGCTCAGGGAGCTGTTAAAGGACCATCCGTTCTTCTACGTACCAGAGGTGATAGACGAGCTGAGCAGCCGCCATGTTCTCACTACTGAACTCGTTCCTGGATTTCCCCTGGACAAAGCCGAGAGCCTCTCTCAGGAGCTGAAGAACGAGGTACGGATGGTTACGATTACACAAGTTAGTTTGTGCAGAGGGGCTTTCTCAACTGCAGACATTCCTTTCTTAGCGGATCCCAGTTCAGTCAACACACTAAACACCACAAAAAAGCAAAAGCGAGTACAATCTGGCATGTGTTTCTTTTCAGCAGATTGAATGTATACCTTTGTCTTTTCTTTCAGATCTGCCTCAACATCTTGACTCTGTGTGTCAGAGAGCTGTTCGAGTTCAGGTACATGCAGACCGACCCAAACTGGTCCAACTTCTTCTATGATCCACAGGCGCACAGGGTGAGTTTCAGTACAACCTGTTGTGTGTTGTCATGAAGTTTGTTCAGCTGTAAATATAAGTAATATGAAGTTGGCAGTTAATGGGAAGTGGTAACTGCCGTGTGCTCCTCTAGGTGGCGCTGTTGGACTTTGGAGCCACGAGAGGATTTGATCAATGTTTCACTGATGTCTACATAGAGGTGAGACCAGGCAGCTGCTATATAATCATCATGAATGGTGATGATGTATGCTCTTTATGGAGCTTCACTAACTTTTTCTGTGTTGATCTTCTGACTGTGGGATGTTAATCTCAGATTGTCAAGCCTTAAATGACTTTAGTAACTCTTAATGCTTCTGCATGCCAAGACTTTTTGAACAATTTCTTTCATTCTCTCAACTTTGGGGGATCAATTTGGGTTTGGCTCCTTCTGTTTCAACATGATGCTCACCAGTGCCCAAAGCAAGGTGCATACAGACATGGATGAGCGGTGTGGAAGAACTTGACTGGCCTGCACAGAGTCACAGAGCCTCAACCTGATAAACAACCTTTGGGACGAATTTGAGTGGAGACTGTGAGCCAGGCCTTTTCATTCAACATCAGTGTCTGACCTCACAAATCTTTAAAAACAAAAACAAAAAAAGGTCAGAAACTCCCATAAACACTCTTAAAGCCTTCCCAGAAGAGTTGAAGCTGTTATAGCTGCAAAGGAGCCAACATCATATTAAAACGTATGGATTAAGAATGGACTGTCACTCAAGTTCATATGAGCGAATCCTTTTGGCAGTACAGTGCAGGTGCAGCTGTAATATTTCTAGCAGTAATCCAGAGACGAGACAACATAAAGCTCCAGTAGTTGTACATCTCCCCTCAGGGTTTACGTCTTAGTTTTTTCGCTGATGTTGACATTTTGTAACTCACACTTGTACTCATTTGCCTCTGATGATTGGTGAACTCGATCTTAATGCCAAATCAGAAGGTGTTAAAAGACCCTAATTATTCATGGCAACCCAAATCCTCGCAAGAGATTCGAATCTAAATTTGAATGAAGAAAAAGAGAGTGACATGTGCGACCTGTGTGTGTCCTGTGCAGATAATCCGTTCAGCTGCCATGGGCAACAGGGAGGGAGTACTAAAGAAATCTATTGAGATGAAGTTCCTGACCGGTTACGAGTCCAAGGTAATGATCTCTGAGCTTTTTCTGCCTGCTCTGCTTTACAAATGATGGCTTTGTCACTGTGGAGTAGCCATAAACAAGTAAATGAGAGTTGTAAAAGTGCGCAAACATAATGTGTTAAGCATGTGTTTTGGTTTATTAAATTTTTTTGTTCTTTTGTTGTTGTTTTTTTAACGTGTGTTGTCCAGGCAATGGTGAATGCCCACGTGGATGCAGTGATGATCCTCGGCGAGGCTTTTGCCTCCTCGGAGCCCTTCGACTTCGGTTCCCAGTCCACCACCGAGAGGATCCACAACCTCATCCCTGTGATGCTCAAACACCGGCTCACCCCGCCCCCGGAGGAGACGTACTCGCTCCACCGTAAGATGGGTGGCTCGTTCCTCATCTGCTCCCGGTTGAATGCTCAGCTGCAGTGCAGGGAGATGTTCGAAATGTCGTATCAGAAGTACTGGGAAGGCCGCACGCCACCGTCTGACTCGGCATAAAACCAATCAGTGTTTGGAATTATGATGGACTGGATGGGGGGGAAGGGGGCCAACAGAAAAGTGCCCATAGATACCAAAACGGAGGAAGGAAACTGTCGTCGAGCGCCAGCGTGTTGGGCATCCAATGAAAAGACCCGCATACATATCAACACCCATCATTTTTGGTTTGAAAGAGGGAGCAGCAACATGGTGTGCGTGTTGCGTTTAAGGCCAGAAGAAAAAAAGCTGTAAGAGACAAGAGTGAAGGAGAGAAGCAGCCTTGTTTTAGGCGTAAACTGAGTGTAAAAAGGTTGAATTTGCATCTCTTGATGATTTCACGATGATTCTTGCATCTTATGTTGCTGTGTTTTGTTGAGCTTTGGGATACACTGTAAAGTTTGCTCTTTACCGTAAATGTCACAACATTGCATTGCGTTAACTAAGCTTTAATTTTAGGCCAGAATAACAATGCAGGTATTTCTGCTTCTTTTTTAAAAAAAAAAAAAACACATTTAATTAGATATTATGGCTATAAATAATAGGTATTGGTCTAAAAGCAGACTGCAGATAATTACAGTCTTTTTTTTATAAAATAAAAATAGAGATGATGAGAATTAATCATGCATTTTGTTTAGTTTTGTTTTTTGTTTTTGTTTTTTAAAGGGGGTGACAAAGTGATATTTCTCAGCACTTACACACAAGAATGTGTGACTTTAGCATATGTATATGTAGTATACAGGATCTTGTGTATTAATGCAGCCAGACAGTACTAAATGATGTTGTTTATAGCTTGTAGCTTCTAAGGGAAATTGTTTTGGGCATGAGATTAAGTCAAGCTTAATTCACAGGAGGATGAAAGTCTCTAATTTAAATAGGTTCTGTCCTCTTTTTGGGTTTTAAACAGTGTTCATATGGACTAACTAGCCAAGTTAGCATCATTGTTGCTCAAAATTTAAATTCTGTCAGACATAATTCAGATTTCCTGAATCTGAATTGCTTTTTTTCCCCCTTATTTTCAGTCAGAAACTAACAAACCACATGGATCCATGTTGCTCTCTGCTTAGAAATGAATGTTTCCCAGAAGAAACAGGTCATAGCTCACACATCAAACACTGGGCCTGAATGTTCACAAACTACCTGGATGGGAAGCGCTCGTCCTGATAACGCACAAGATCAGCTTGTGGGCTCGGCTCGCTCCCGCAAGTCGGTAATCTCTCCACGCCTCCTTGGGTGAAAAATCCTCCTAACTGGTGTGTGACTGTGAAAGTTCTCTGTGATCTGCTGTGTGAATACTGTTATGATGATATGATGATATGGTGTGAAAATGGGGGGGAGGAAAAAAAAACAAGGTGCCTGATGTTTCTAGCAGATGGTTTGTAGCTAGAAATCTCTACTTTATATTTCATATTAAGCATCACTGAGCAGAGGGTTTCAATTTTGTAATCGAAATGCATTCTTAACTGAACGTTGTAATAAAATATATGAAAAGAGTAAATGTTTGAGCTACTCTGGTCGGGGTGTCTCTGTGTGGGTTTATGTGTGTGTGTGTGGTCCCTGCTTTACGTTATCACTGTTACCCAGGCATATGTGTGTATAACCCAGATTTTGATGTGTGCTGGCCCCTTGGTTAGGTTGTAATCTGTTTTTAAAAGAGAAAACGAGTGAAAACACAGTAGAGGGAGAGAGGTCATCTTCCTTATTTAGCTACGTCTTGGCCAGCAGTGGAGGAACTGGCACAGAGCCTGGGAAATGAGAAGGCACGCTGAAATATTCAGACGATGTGAACCCGCACACTTAAAATATCCGAGCAAATAAATCATGCTGTTACCCGCGCACAGGGAGGTGAGTTGCTTTGGGGCGAGTGGGCGTCGATAGACACACTCTTTGTGATACTTTTTGTTTGGAGAAACCCAAACCTATTGCAAGTAATTTCAGTTAACCGGTGCTTTCATCTTTCAGTGTGAAGTGCATGAAGAACCTGATGTAATTCACTAAATATCCAGCACACGGCGCTGCCGTGTTCTCCCACAGCGGCTTGACAGGTCAGCCGCTGGAGTAGAGACAACATCCTGATGAGAAAACAAAACATAAGCAGCCTGAAGCCAGACGGATAATTATATGGAACTCAGCTGGCTGCAGGTACAATATTGCTTTATTAAAAATATCCGGTGTGCAGAGGCGGGAGAGATTACACACAGCAGCAGTGATTAAATCAGGCACATGTACTTGACACTGAATGCTGTGTGTGTGTGTGCATGAGAGATTCATATAAATGCACACATGAAAGGTCATAAATTATACCTCTGACCCTGAAGCATGTATTTATTGTGTGTTAGAAAATAGTCAAACTAATTATACAACAATTAAGTATTGGTATGGAAAGCTTGATCAGGGTTTTATTTTATTAAATCTAGTCAAATACAGTCTGCTTGTATAAACAGTACTGTGCAAAAGTCTTGAGCTACCCTTTGTTTCTGCACGTTTTGCTAAGAAAAAGGAAAATGGTTACAGTGATATCATGAAAACTAAGACCTGTTGACACTGACTTTCAGTCCAGTTCTTGTGTAATCTGGAATACCTCAGCCTTTCTCCCTGTTTCCCTTTCTTGACGGTGGCTTCCTGATTGCCACCTTTCCACTGAGGCCATTTTGGATCAACAGTAGATGGATCAACTAGTGGTCCAGTTCATCGCTCGGGCCCTGTACCAGATACCAGCTTCCTCAAGGACACACTGCATGGCATGCCGAGATATATAAGTTTTTAGCTAACAGCTCTCTGAGAACTGCCTTGTTAGTGCAAAAAGGCTATTTTATCCCCATCAAAGTGTGTTATTTTTGATGTTTTTCATGGATTTTTCAGGTTCTGTCCAGAGGAAAAAAATACCTTCAGTAAGCCTAAAAACTATTGCTCGAGATCACTTTAAAAATGAAAAGAAATGTTAAAAAATTAGGAGTGCCTCAAGGCTTTCACACAATACTGTATAATCATGTTAGAAAATCTATCTGAACATCCTGTCTATCAAACTATGTATATACATATATATATATATATAACTATATAGAACTACTTTATAAACCCTGGCTGTGTGGCAGTTGGTTAAGACGGGCATCCAGCATCCATGTTTGGATTAAGACATTTTTCTAGCCCACGTAGGTGCTGTGCTTCATCCCAGTGCCATGAATGTCTGTACTGACACTCCAACTTGCTGAGCTGAAAGAGATTTGTCTCAACTGTGGCTGTGTTTACATGACACAGAGGATGGTGGGCGTGTTAGTAGGATGCCGTGGAAGAGACATCTGGTCAGAAAAAGCAAGGGGTAAGAAATCCTTATTTGGTGACCGAAATCAAGTCTGTGTACAATCAAAAAGCCAAACTGCTCTTATACAGCCTTTACTAGGTTCCTTCAGCGTGTTTTTGCACCAGGTTTGTCCTCGTAAGTGTGGAGAAGGTCAATGACACATTTATTTATTTATTTTTTAGCAACATGGGAGTTAATTTTTATGAAGTAATCAAGACCTGCACATCTCAGCCTCTAAATCAGATAAACTCTAAATTGCCTCATATTTGGTAAACACATTTTAACTCCTGGCCCACATACAGCAAATCTGATCTCAAGTGGGCTGGACCAGGAAAAATAATTATAATAACCTGAACAGATGATGACCAACCAAAGATACCTTTAAAAAGCACAATTTCAACAATAAGTAATTATTTAATTTTTAGTAACATTGCTAGAGCACCCCCTTTTTGGTCTGCCAAATAGCTCCCACACTGCCTAAATAATATTGAGGTCCGGTCTCAGGGGAGGCCTATCCACGACCAATAGTCATGTGTCATGATGTGTGTGTTTGAGATCATTGTCATGCTAAAAAGGTTTCCAGATGGTATTGCAGTGGTTCCAGGGGCGTAATTTCCAGTGGGGTTATGACCCCCCCCCCAATAATCAGACCCAACCAATATAACCCCCCCAATAAAATTATGAATTATCTTGCATAAATAGGCTGTTGATTTTCTTTACTCATTTCAGGTATTACCAGCAAAATAGTTGCATGTTTAATCATCTGGGAATTTACCCAGATTAGTTGGTGCCTGTCTTATGCTTGAATGATTCATAGTTCAATGGTAAATGGTTTAACAATCAAACATAAAGATGAAAATGGTAAGGTACAAGGCTGGACTGAGAATAAGTGGGAGAGGAAATGAGTCTGGAGAACTATTCCTCAAGACCAGCAGTTCTTGAGCCACTGGTCTTAAAAATGACAAGACAGTCTGGGGGCAAAATATACAGAAATACAGGGTTGCTCAAGACTTTTGCACATTACTGCAGTTTCTGGATGAAACAGACTTTCAACAATCAAGTTTATACTGGAGATAAATGTCAAACATGTCACGGTCTGCAACCAGCAGACGCGTTCAAAAATACGAGTCAAATGAAAGTCCATCCACAAATGATTTATTTACATAAAAATGTAAAGCATAAATGCTGCTTTATGGTTTCCAGATGAAAAACAGAGACTGCAGCTATTAAACCAGATTGAATGCAGGTGAGACACTCCACAAATATGAAACACCTTTAATTTAGAGGATGAATAACCAAGAAGTCTTTCTGTTAGGTTAGTAGGAAGCAGTTAATAAATGTGCAAGAAGTCATTGTAGTTAATGACTGAGGCATATATTGATTCAACAAAGCACGCACCATACAGTTACAAGTTTCCCATATTTGGACTAAAATGACTTTTAATTGCAAGACTTTTATATCTTTTGCCTCAAACTGCTTAATACCGACGCAGCAAAGCCACAAAAATAAGCCACAATCATAAATTATGCAAGTGGTCATTTGACACCAAAGATTCATGCAGAAAAAAAAAATACTGTTCTACAATTTAAAAAAAGCATAACATCTATTTAATCTTCCCCCTTAAACACACTAAAGAAACACAAAAAAAAACAGGATTGTGACAAAATCGTTTCATATTTAGATCTATGAAAAGAAACTCCAGCACCACACATACAGAAACACATGTGAGAGAACATCAGTCCGTTGTAAGGCATAAGATATCATCACCATTACAGACATCATTACCATCATCATCATTATCATTACCTCTATGTTCACACACTAACACTGTACGACATGTGCACATTTAAAACATAAAAATATTGGTGTTCTCAACTAAAATACAGAAATCTTCCTAAAAGGCATTTGTCTAAAATAACGAATATCATAAAAAAAACTCAAAGTGATTTATCAGCATTACAAAGTATGGGGTAAAAATCACATGAATGAATGAATTTGTATTATTACGAGTCCACTTTTCTATTTCATATGTCATAAGAAATGATTCGCGTACCTGTATTTAAAACGCTCTGAGGAGCATTTTTACTGTTTTCAGCAGCAAACAAATTCCACTGTTAAAATACAGTAAAGTGCTGTTGGTGAGATTTGCTATTGTTTAAACTCTAGTCAGTAGACTAGTCACAACCACTTCA